TAATAATTAAAGAAATACGCAAAAACGAGGATGGCAACCATGACATCCTCACAAACCCAAAAGCCAAGAGAGATCACAAAGAAAATCTCTGAAGTTCTCAATTTGATCCATAATGCCAGTCCAATCAACCAAAATGAAAGAAGAAGGCGGGGTCTCTGAAGCTTCGAATACATTTTCTGGTAAATCCCTTTCTTCACTTTTGACAGCCACTCATAGTACTTCGTCCACCAATCTAACCAATGTTATAAAGAAGGTGAAAGTATTACTGCTTCATTTGAGCTCGCTCCCAATATGGCTTATCTTGTGTATGAGTGGATAAGAGAATCAAGCCCATCTTTTATTTCATCGTTCCTTCAAATAAATTTTTCGGAATTCTTTTTTTAACGAATTTTAAGGGAAGAAGAGACTATCGTGGACTAACGCTATAAAAAGCTTCCCTCTGGAAAATTCGGCAGAAAAGAAACTGAACGATGTTCAATGAAAGAAGTAGATACTGGGAAACGATTTGAGCACTCCCTAAATTCCATGCTTCACAATGGTGCTTTCTCTCTCAAAATTGTTACGTAATAATAATTCCTTGCAATGACTTCAAGATGAAGTGGTTTCTCATAAGCTCCTAGGCCTCCGGAAAAGTAAATGTCAAAAGAGAATATGCTACCACAAGATTTGATCCACATTCTCACTAGGGTACCAATCTAATCGCTACAAGCAAAAACATTCACAATCAAGTAATCCTACAAGAACCCCAGTCGCTCCATTTCTCTGAGCCCATCAAAATTCCTAGTTCCCTACTATTCTCCACGACCATAGCTCCAGAAAAGCATTTTAAACTCTTTAGTTTCTCAACATATGAATGATTAAATAGTACGAATCACCCTATAATGACTGAATGCAGATGAATATTGGGAAGGGAATTGAATTGAACGGGGAAAGAGAGTACTCTGTGAAGGAGAGTAAGTGATTGGCGAAGTCGAGGTCAATGGAAGAGGATGAAGAGGAGGAATTGGTCTTGTTGTGACGCAGCTCCTCGAGGAAAGCTTGTTCTGTCTCCTTGAAACCCTTCTTCTTCAAGTACGCTGACACAAAATTCGCTATTTGTTCTTCGTCCATTCTGATTCAGCAACCTTCAGTAATTCGCCTTCTTCCAACACAAATTGCGAGCTCTCAGTTCTTCTTCCCGCACTTTTCCACAGCTCTCTCTCTCAAGGGGACCGGAGAGAGAAGGGCACTGTACCTGGCACGGGCTAGGTGTTTGATTAATGGGCCTGAAAATAAACACGGGAGCGTCATGGGCCGAAAATTTTTGTCAGCCCGTAATGCGTCAATTTTTCAATTGGGCCCTAAGCCCACCTATGAGCAGTCCAAACTCCGAAACAACCTCAGTGAGTTTTTTATTTTTTATTTTTTATTTTTTTCTGGAAATTAACGTTGAGTTCTAACTTCTAACTAGAACTACGATAACGCAAATTCCCTTAGAAAAAAAATAAAAAATAAAACACTCATCAATTTCGTTGTATTTCTGATCATGTTGCCTCTTACCATTTTTACATGTCCTAACTATTTTTCTTATAAATATTTACCTGTCTAACTATTTTTTTTAGTACAACTTATCGTGTCTAACTATTTAGATTAATTATTTTATAATTTTACTCTTACTTTGTTTGTTTGGCTGCACCACTAATAATTTTCTTCTCATTAAATATTATAAATTTTTATTAGCTATGTGATTTTATATAAAAATACAACAAATTTCTATTTAAATTATCAATTATTTTATGTTGTTGTGGTGTTATTAATTGATGTCGATAAAATCGTTAAATTATAATTCATTATTATAACGAAAAAATTAATAATGTTTTATATTGCTCATGGTTGAAAGCATGATATTAAATATCGATGGACATGTTCATGTATCCATCAACATGAACATGAAGGATAAATCAACATTTCTGTAATATTATAAAAGAAAATCAACAATGTGAAAAATATCACAAAATTTTACTAATATAAAATAATATTAATATTAATCATTTAACTTATTTAGAAGTGGTCAAACAATTATTTGTTAATTTAAATATTTTACTAATATAAATATAATATTAATATTAATCATTTAACTTATTTAGAAGTGGTGAAACAATTATCTGTTAATTTAAATATCGATGGACATGTTCATGTTGTGGTGTTATTAATTGATGTCGATAAAATCGTTAAATTATAATTCATTATTATAACGAAAAAATTAATAATGTTTTATATTGCTCATGGTTGAAAGCATGATATTAAATATCGATGGACATGTTCATGTATCCATCGACATGAACATGAAGGATAAATCAACATTTCTGTAATATTATAAAAGAAAATCAACAATGTGAAAAATATCACAAAATTTTACTAATATAAATATAATATTAATATTAATCATTTAACTTATTTAGAAGTGGTCAAACAATTATTTGTTAATTTAAATATTTTGTTTAAATTTTTATTTTTTAATTTTTTAAAAAATATATATCGACCTCGACGTTTTATGGAAATATTGGTCGAGAGCAATGGTAAAGTTGTCGTTGTAACTGAAAAAGAATTATTGGTAGTGCTGGTGGTAGTGACGGTGACAGGAGTGTGAGCTGACATCCAAGTCACTAACTTTGCACATGAAAACCAGCCTATGGGATTTTAATTTGATGCCACGTTCATCCAGAACAAAACCACAGGTCCATGACGTGGCGTGCCAAATATTAAAAATTATAATATATATATATATATATATATATATATATATATATATATTGTATTTTAATTGGGAAAAGACACCAAATCAAATAATGCCATTTGCATTGCCGTTTTGTGGAGCCACGCAAATGCGTGTTTTGAACACTCAATACCAAATAAAAATTTATCTGAGAGCGATTTTTTTCTTTTTAAGTTAATATATATCGGCGATTTTTTTATTTTCTAATATATTAAAAAACATATATTTGAAATTACAGCGAAATTTTAGATTTTACAAAAAGTAGTTTTTTTTTTGGTTTGTTTTTTAAAATGGATTGAGATTGCAAAAAGTGTTTTTCTACAAAATGAAATTGGTTAATGAACAAATAATTAGTAAAATAATAAATTAAAAAACAAAAAACAAGATTGTCACAAGGGGACTTAAATAACTAAATGTTTGTGATCATATTCTCAAAGAAAAAAAATTTGCAACAAAAATAAAATTACAATCATCGATATGTGTGTATGATATGTATGATATGTGTATGTATAATGTATATGAGATGTAGTTCATTTAGCATATTCTTAAAATGTTGTTTGAAATAAAATGAACTCGGCACGAAGATTATAGCTTACTTGAAATATTTCGGTGTTTACCTGTAAAATGTCAAATATGTTATATATCAATTAAGCAATATTCTCATACACAATATATCTTCTCTTAAAAAAAAACCTAACCATCTTCAAATAGTTTGAATATTTAGATAAAAAAAAAGATAAAAAAACTTAACACATCTTTTTTAATTTTCTTTCTACTCTGACAATTTCATAAGGAAAAAGAAAAAAATAAAAAGAGATTAGTTTGAAAACAAAAATTTTAAAATCAGGGCAAATTGTACCTTCCAATAAAACATTACCGTTTTAAATTGTGGGCAGACTATTTATTCATGTTCTAAGCAAAAGTATAATGTTTTTTTTATGTATGTCCAGTTTAGCTAATTAAAATTGATGATTTGTTTTTAATTAGGCAGTGGTTGGTCTTTTTTTTATTTTAGTACAACATGTAGAATGAAGATTTGAACTTACGATATTTTAATCGAAAATATGTGCTGACTATTTAAGTTATGTTCAAGAATTGGTAGTAGTGATTTGGGTTAATGTTACATAGTTGAGTATTAATTGTAATAGAGTATGTATGGTCAAATTTTACAACCATACAAGAATTGTTCACTTCCTAAATTCTGCAATCGTTTGTTCACTTCCGTTAACGTATAGAAGTCTATAGGTACGTTGTAAGCTATAACTCTTGCTGAATAAATTGGTCTCTTCTTGAATTACCTTTTTCATCTTACTTTTCTTTTTTCTTTTAGTATGTTATATTATTAAATATTTAATAAATTTGATTACTTTATGAACAAGAGTCAATAAATCTAACAAAAAGGATGGAGGCAAGACAGTGATACATTCCTCACTCATGTCCTTAGGATTTAAATCATCGGAGAACAAAATTTTCCATCACCAACCATGCCCCCACGTTAATTGAGGACTGCCTTGCAAAAGTTTCTAATCTTTCAAGGGTATATTTGGAAGTAAATCATTTTTTGGGGACCACATTGAAAATATTCTTAAAAAAAAAATGGTTGGAGTTTTGCTACGTGGATTCAACAAATGGAAGGATTTGAGTGTTGGTGCCAAAACATTGGACAGATGATCGTTGGGTTGCGTGCCTTGGTTATCTTGGACAACCACAAATGGCAATATTTTTGGTTACTCGACCTTGTTATAAACTTATAAAAAAAATTAAGGCTAGTTTGATTGAAAATTCGGATTCTATTGATTAAATTTACTGAATCAAATGATAGAGTGAATATCTACTTGATATGGTTATTTTCAAAAACTAATTTAAAATGTAGAATTATATTTAGAAAGATAAATATAAACTTATTTCATTTTTCTAAATTAAAACATTTAAAACATAATATATCGTGAATGATATAATATTGTAAAATACTAGTTGAATCAAAATTTTCAACATTTATGTTAATAAATTAATATATAATATTTTAGATTAATCTAAATAACAGTAGGTAACCAATGACTTACAAATATTTACAAACACGCTTTTTTTGTTAATTTGGATTCACTTTTCATTTTTGTTACCAAACACATATCTGAAATATGGAATAGAACTCTATTTTTATTGATTCTCTTGTTTTCAAATTTATGTTTTCATATCATTAATCAAACGCACTCATAATATATATGTCATTAATCAGTTGAGTTCTGTTCAAGTTAAATTAATTATTGAAATTGATATGATGGAGAAAAGAGTTTAAGCGAAATGATAATTTCCATAAACATGACGACACTAATTGGTAGTTGAGTTGAAAAAAGCTTGATAATCCTACTGTTTTGTGTTTTAGTACAGCAAAGGTGGGAACGGGGGATTGGAAATCCTTTTTGGTGAATGAGCAAAATACCTTAATCGAGCTACGTTCATGTTGGCACAATTCTAAAATTTTAATGTCTTCTTTTGATAAATTAAATTGAAATATTAAAAGAATATTTATTTATTTATTTAGTACAATATATTGGGTCGAGATTCAAACTTATAACCTTTTGACCAATATATAAGTGTCTTAATTCTTTCAGCTATGCTTCAGTTGGCTAAATAATATATATTTAGTTAAAAAAAACTTGTTTAGTTCATTAAATGAGCATGGATGGGTTAATTTGACCATATCTTGTTAAGTAGGTAAAGTATCAATTATTATTTTTTTTAGTACAATAATTTGGAGATATAAGAAATTGAACCTCCGACCTCGAGGGGAGGAGTACATGTCAATTACCTTCGAGTTATGCTAAGTATCTATCATTATTTTAAATATTGATTATTAGGACAATTTTTTAAAATATATTGATCAAAATAGATAATTTTATAGATATAAAAATTAAGTAAAAAATATAAATAGATATTTTAAAAGTAGAAAGAATAAAATAAAACAAATATAATTTTTCGAAATAATATCATATAATAGCCGAAGCTGCCTTCCAGCAAGAAGGGCAGAGATTCCTCGCGATAAGGTTTTTTTTTCCACTAAAAAACTAATCAAAATCAAATCTCGTATGATAGAGTATCATTGCAAACAAATCAATTTAAAATTCTTTATACTGTAATTATTATTTATTATTCTTATTATTTTCAGTGTAATATAATGTTTGCTCTCTCCAAAAAAAAATTAATAAGAAAAAAGAAAAAGAAAAAAAGGTATAATAAATAATATCGTGTCGTGCTAAATTGTTAATGGGGCTCGCAATGCATATAAATAAATAAAAAGAACATAATAATAATAATAATAATAATAATAAAAAAAAAAAAAGGGTGATGGCCGCGCCATGTGGGACCTGATTGGATTTATTTATTTATTTTCAATTGTACCCCTCCACAAAGGACAATGCAAAAGAGTACTATTGTAATTGCAAGCTCAAATTTTGAAATAGGAAAACT